ATGCAAAGCAGAGGATGGCTAGCCAAAAGATGAGATGCCTAAATGGATCAAATTAGTCTATAAGAAGTAGATCGGTTTGAAGTCAGCTAACTTTCTTGTCTTCGTGCCTTTGGTGAAGTATCGTTAAGCATGGTGTCTTGATCTGAAGGACAAAAGTTCAGCAAGGATTCATCGGAGTTGCAAGGCGATGAGCCAATGATCCTTTGCACAAATCTGCAATCACAGCCTTTTCAAGCAAAATGAAAATGCTTCCAACATCTATCTATTAAGGGATTCTTTGAAACCCAGTTTTTCCTCATACTTTTATTGTACGTAGGAGGACCAATGTTTCCGAGAATCCTCAATTTACACTAAGACCATGAAAGCACAAGAAGGTCAACCATATTTGTTTATTGAAATTCTATTTTTCTCGTTGAGTTGTTCTTAGGTTTTATTTTATTGATAAGCCAAATTTGCCCGATAGAACTAAGCGAGTCGTTCAGAGGGCATCTCCGGCTTTAGTTACTATTAGAACCCAAGAAGACATTATAACATTAGACTCCTTGATAAGGAGGAAAACCAGTTTACATTAATCATTGACAAGTACTCTTAGCTCGGAAGATTTCTTTACACTACATTTAATGGGGGACAGGTTGTATGATATAGTTATTCAACAGGCTAGATACAAACATGATAAAAAGCTTAGGAATATGGATATAAGAATCAAGGCAAAGGCTAATCAAAATACGTATATAAGCAAAGAATTGTTGTTAAGAAAGTGGTAACCAAATCCAAAACAGTATAATAACATTCATGTAGACGATGCCATACAGGGCCTGTATTCCGCACTCAACTACACTACTGAGTTGGGACATCAGGAACATTTATAAGGCGAAAATAACACTTTCCTTGGTATTTCCTTATTTTCGAGAATACTCTGACCCGCTCTCCAAATCGGGTTGTTACCAGATTTAGTGTTCATGTGGTAGCGCCTATGTGGGAGAGACCTGTAGGCCCATGCATGAGAGGCTATTCGAACACGAAAGACTGCAAAGATCTTTGGGTCCAAAAATCGGAATTGGTCGAAGACATGGCTCGCACAGAGCACCAGATAGATTGGTCTAAGGCCAAATGCTTAGCTGGATATGAGGACAATACCAGTACGCGAAATATTAGGGAGGCGATAGAAACCAACAAAACCATCAACACCATAAATAGAAGGAATGAGTGTAGGAAGTTGAGTGGAAACCACTTGTAGATGCTGGATCGGATTAAAGAAAAAGAGGGAGGAAACGAGAAATACCACCGAGCAAGAAAAGGAGACTTGATTAGACTCGAATCTGGTTTTGACTCTCCTATCACACTCATTTCAAGACCAAAGCATTCACACAACACGCGTGTAATGGAACGCATTCACATTGCAGGATCACAGGCATAAGTGTTTTAGGGGAGGATTGAGCTGTTCGGCCACAATTTAATTCGTTTCTCGTTTCATCTGCAGAATCTTAACTTAACTCTTGAGCAAACATTTAAGCAAAGCATAGATTATCCAAACAAATCGTGAGGTGCCTCTTTAAGTGGACCAAATTTTTTATATAGGAAGGAAGTAGGCTTGAAGCCGGCCATCTTTCTTGTCTTCGTGCTTTTAGTGAATTATCGTCAAGCATGGTGTCCTGCTCTGACGATGCCCGTCACATGACAGACGAAAGCTCAACAAGGATTCATCGAGGTCGCAGAGCTCCCAAGCAATCCTTCTTCAAACGAAATGAAAACTGCTTAGGCTTGTTGCTGTTTAGGTACTTTCTCATGCCTTGTTATGATTACTGGGTACTGTTAAACTTGTGCCTCTACAGGTAATCCGCCTCAAGCATAAAAATCAACTGATGTTTATCAAAATAGATATATACCTTAAAGATATAGACAAGTCGTTTATTTCTTTTGAGTTTCTTTATGTGTGTATATGGCAAGGAAATGCTGAATGTTTAGTAATCTTAAACATGCTGTCAAATCGAAACCTTGCTTAGAATGCTTCTCTCTTCTGATGATACATTCACTAGCCACGGCAGATAAAGGCTTAGCACAGGTTCCGCTATAATCGAAGACTTCATCAATCAAAAATCAAAAAGAAATCACTCAAACTTAAGGTCAAATCAAACGCTGGTGTACCAAGAAATTCCTTGTAGACTTACTTCTTTTCGCATATATTTTCCTTCAGACTCCGCAGAGGAAAATAGCCCAGAAATAAATGATATCGAATTTTGAGAAACCGGGTTTAATCTGCATGAATGACATTCACTCGATGTGCCATTTATATGATGAAACGGTCATTGTTGCCTCAAGTCTGAAAATTATAGTATTTCATAATGGCCATAAGTTATATTCAAGCATAACTAAAAAATGCTTAAATCTGGATGCTTGTGAGCGCATCGATTATTAAGCCCTCAATGAATACTATAAAATAAAACTAATTGAATATAGTTTTGACACTCTATTCTCTGCTTAATAAAAACTTTCTTCTCCGAGACGAGACGGAAAACTGAGCCCTGTTTATACATTCTATTTATGCTAAATTTTCGACAATTTGTCACATAATGTTAAACATATTAAATTAAATTTACATAATAAAATATAAACTTAATGTTAATATTCATCATAAATATGCAAAAAAATATTTTCGCGTTATGATCTCTCTCCTATACGTATAAGCTCGTGACTAAATGTGCCCACCTGCATTTAAAATAACTATGCAATAAAATATGAAATACCCTAAATTTGACGACTAACTCGCTCACTTATGTATTCCTGTTACCAATATTATAAGTGAGGAAGCCATTAAATCTTAGCACCATAGTACTCGATAGTTAAAATATAGGAATAGTAGAAATATAGGCTTCGATTGCTGTAAACATTAATAAGTAGGACCCTAATACAAGTAAGTTGAAATTATATGTAGAAATCATTTTGTGTCTATCGAACAAGCGTAACATCCTCTCAGATCAATTCAAGCATTGAAGTTAGTTTATGTTATTAGATTGGATTAAATTTATGCGAGAGGATATGTTCTTGTTAATAAAAAATGAAATCACCTTAAGACACTTAAGGTGATGAAAGGTTAGTAGGTCCTAAGATGCAATTTAATTTCATTGTTATGAGATATGTTTATCCTACTTAATTTAAGGTATTGAATTTCTGGCAGTTGAATTTTCCTATGATTATATGAGTAACCCTCACATTTCCATTGAATTTAATATAGACTTGCTTCCCGTAAGGTAATCTCATCCCAGATGGAGTGGACTGCAGATTTGATCTCACCTGAGTCTTATCAACACACCCAGCGGGACTCGAACCTCGATTGAATTGGTGCAGTGTATAGCCTCGACACATTAATTAATACGCCACATTGTCACACACGAACTTGATTTACAGGGTTGATGTGTATTTCACAAAGACCGGGCATTTTTCCATATCACACACTCTAGTGGAGGCAAAGGTTTAGTTTCTATAACAACAGATTACATGACTTTATTTTCTATGATACTTACGTTTTCGAGGTTACCAGTAGATCATGTTTCGGGGTATTGATGAAACCTAGGCAAGGTCAACACTGCAGCTAACTCCGAATGAGACTATCTTTTAGAAAACAAGGCTATGCGAGTCCCGCTGGGGGTGTTGACAAAATCTAGGTGAGGTCGAGACTACTGTCCACTCCTGCCTGAATAAGAATACACTTTGTGAAAGCAAGGCTGTGTGAACTTTAATGGAAACGTAAGTTCTACTGATATCACTGTGGGAAACCTCAACTACTTCATCACCTTAAACGAAATATGTTGAATACATCTCATATATAATCTACCTGCAGTCTCAAAAACCTACTTAGAGCCGAAAAATACCATTCGATATGTAAATATTCCCTTAATGCAAAGTTTGGTACAAAATATTCGATTGCTTATTTGACCTCATATTTAACTCTTAACGGATCCCTCTCTGAAGCAGTCCCTCCGAGCTTGACTGGATCGAGCTTGTTCGTTTGGCTACTCAATACTTGATGTCCAGGGCCCAGTAGTTCGGCCAATTGAGCCCCCTCAAGAGCAGCTCTGGTGGCTCCGTATTTTGTAATATATCGCGGTGCTATGGGCGGCCGGTCGGAGGGCAAATCGCCCAAGTTATGCAAATGAAGACCTCTGGTGGCAGCAGGAAGGACGGCGTATGGTCTCTGCCGATTGTCCGATGAGGCTGGAAATGAGGAAGCTTCGGTGACTGAGGTGGCTGGACGGAGACCAGATGAGCTTTTAGGCGTCGCAGACAAGTTGGTGGTGGCAAATAACAGTGAAATAAAAAGAGTGAATGTGGTTAAAGGGCATTCTGCCTCGTGTGGCTAATCGAGATTGTTACCATCATTATGATTGTGAAATATAAAATATAAAATAAATTATTTTGATCGAGGAGGTAATGAGAACTTGATGTAATTGACGGCATAATGGTTGAAATTTCCCCTAATACAATAAGGCAGATAAATTTCCTTTAGCTTTCTCTTTCCCTTTTAACTGGATTCTTATCTGAGTCGTTTGCCTCTACCAGCAACTCTGCAAAGCGTGTCTTATGGCACAGAGCAAGCCATACCTATTTCAATTTACATTTTAAGTGGCAAATTTTTAATTTTCATTAAACTCAAAAAAATTTCAATATTCTGGTTGATAAGCTTTTGCAAATGGTGGCAGGTGTATAATTAGTTCGCTTCGGGGATGTGAAAAAAGGCCACAATAAGTCAGTAAATTCCACCTTATCCAAATACCATATTATTATTAAGCTAATTTACATTTCAAATGAATGTGAGTGATGAAGAGCTTCGACAATCGATCGCATTAATAGCGAACTTCTCTCAGCCAGTTATGAGCCGATATCACTGGAACATTCTAGAAAATTTGGGTTTAAAAAAATCTTTGGGCTTATAATTGCTGATTTGACTTCCATTTTGAGTTAATGTCTGCAATTAAGAGATTCCAAGGTCGATCTCATTTGGAGACAACAGTTATCGGTTGCCTTTACTAAAATATTCTTGTTGACAGTTCCCGAGACAGTCTCTAATAATTCAAGTCAAAACATTCCTTAAGCTTTGTCTGTCATGTGATGGACATCACCCAAGTTTGGTACCATTCTTACAGCCATCTTTAAGCTAACGAGTCAGGAAAACCCTCCACTTCGTCTATAAATTATGTATATATAGTGATGAGGTATTAAGAAAGTTGGTTAGTTCTAGTCATATGTTAATCTGTAAGCATATTTGTGCGTCTGTTTTTGTTTCATTACGTGTGCGTATATATATGAAACCATCAGCGAGAGCTTTAACTAATTAAAACATTATGTAACATCCTTCCTCGATCATCAAAGATTGATGACCACCAACAGACCCTTGTCATTATATTTTACTCATCGCTTCGTTCTTTTAATGTGGAACACACGTCTGTCTGTGCATGAGTTGGAGGAAGCGAGATAAGATGTATAGAAAGTGCAATCGTGATTAACACCATTATCAACATTCTCTCTCCTTGAGTTTATAAAGTAAACAAAAGTACTCTATACCCAATTATTTACCAGTTCTCCTTAAACTTATATGACATAGTATCGTTGGAATGACATACAATTTGTGTAAAATTGCCTAAAAGTTAGATTCTTAGCTTGATCTTCCCAGGCGACCACGACAGATCCATGATACTCTGCAGTAAATTGATTTTACTAGGATGTCATAAATTACGTAGCATACGATGCAATCACGTAACCAATTGAGAATACTAATCGCTTTACCTTACCTGCTAGTTTATCTCACAAGAAAGCTAAATTAAAGTGAAAATATATTGATATATCATAAGTTGAATTGTTACCCTTCATGGGAATCCACGTAAGTCAAGATAAGCTATGTCTAATCCTAACTACGAGTAATTACATCAAAAATAAATTTCCGTACACAGTCATCAAGACCTTGTGACCCAAGAAAGAGTATGATTCAGAATAAGCAATCCCTAACCATCGCCTGGTTGGGATGAAAAGCTTAACAGATGACAAGCTTGTCATTTGAGAGGATGAAAGAGTTGGTCTAGAATATATTTGACTACTATTTCTCGGACTTAAGAGTAGTAGTAAGGTAATAATGAAAAATAATAATAGCTTATTCCTTTTGGCTATTGAGGAGGAGATGTTTATGGGATACCAGCATTGACAGGTCCTACTTAGGATTCTATTTATAACCAGTGTTACGAGATTATGGCAGTTATAGAGATTAACAGCTTAGGGAATAATCTAATTGTAAGAAATAAAAGCATAACCTTAGGTAATAAATACGTATTTTTGATTGCTGAACTCGTGAAGAGAAGGAGTGTTAAATCACCTAGCAAAAGAAAGTGCCTCTATATATATATATAAAGAGAGAGAGAGATTATGAGTTGATTTGCTCCCCTTCATGGCAATCCACGTAAGTCAGGATAAGAAATGTCCAATCCTAACTAAGAGTAATTGCGTCAAAAATAAATGTCCGTACACAGTCATCAAGGCTTAGTAACCCAAGAAAGAATATGATTCAGAAAACGCAATCCCTAACCATCGCCTGGTTAGGATGAAGAGATTAATATTTGTTTGCAATGGATATGAATATCGCTATAACCATCACTGAGAAGACCAGATGAATCGCTAGCTTTTGGTAGATGGCTCAAGACCCCACTTCTCAATCAGGCAAAAGTAATTCTTAAATAATTCCCCAACTCCATATCCTTCATCAAACTTATTTCCTACTTTATTAATTTCCGTAGCCCTTCTCAGTCTGTGAATATCATCAGATAATCTATAATAAACTAACTTATGTGTATCCGGTATACGTAGTGGGTTCAGCCACTTCGGACCATTTAACCAAACAGCCTGGACAAGCCAATATCTGTTCAGCAACCCAC